CCTGGAGCCTGCCAGACGGAGAGTTAGGTCTACGGGACAGGTCGCCGCAGGGCAGGCCAAGGCTGGGAGGAGTCGGGCAAGGCAGGCGGAAGAGGAGAGACAAGGGAGGGGCGGGGGCCCGCGGGGCAAAAGCAGGCGGGACGGGCAAGAGGTCCTGGGCTGGTCTCTGGGGCGCCGCTCAGGCTGACAAGATGGTGCGACCTGGGAGGGCCCTTGGGTCGGTCGCGCTTTTGGAGGTCCTGTGGTGGGTCCGCCTGAAAAAGGTAGGAGCTCATCCCGAACCTACCACTCGACGTAACTGGAATAAGTTAATGATTTCTGATGAAGAATGCCAGCCGGTCGCCTTCGCTAGAGAAATCTCTCACTGGCCACCAGAGGACACTGTTCCCTAAACCTGGTGAAAGGAAGCTATGTGTACTAGGCTCCTTTCCTTCTTTGAAACTGCTTTTGCCTGGGATTAAGAAAGACTATCAAGGTTAACGTTTACACGTATCAGACGAGGCAGCACTACTGATGTACACATTGTGGAAATAATCTCTATTGTCCTGTGGCCTGGAATAAGTATCAGTGTATATTTTTATATGTAGAAAAAAGTTTACATTATGCGACTTTTTTTTTTTAAGAAAAGACTTTGAACACCTCAAATAAAACCATATTTTTCCATTCATACAAATATTTATATGTACATGCATCAAAATAGTTCTAGAAGGGTACACTTTAAGTTGGTAACAGTAGTTACTCCTGGGAGAAGTCTGGGATTGGGTAATAAGAGGATTTTTAATTTTATCTATTACTTGAACCTTTTATGATGGAGAATGTATTGATATATGTAAGATTTGTTTGCTACCATAGAATTCTATCTTAATTAAAATGAGGTTAATTAATTCAGGTGAAATATTCTATTCATTCTATTAAATTGCTATCAAACAAGAAAGATGCATATATAAATCTTGAATATTTTTGGAATCAATTTCATTTTAAAATATCTTATCCTGCTTATTCCATAAATAACATTATAATTGTCATGTATACTAATTTGTGTATTGAAAATATTTGCCACTGAAAGCATATAGTCACTGGACCAAGAATTTCCTGTTGAGAGCCATACAACAACCCTACCTTCTTTGAAAAGTACTTGTTAAAGTCCCTGAGAATATATATGGCTAACAATCAGTTTTGGAAAAACTGATCAAGATATTTTGACTTCTGCCCCCACAAACCATCATTATAGTGGCCATGAATATTGGATTTAGTGCATCTCTGCATGCACTACCTGAAAAGATAGAATATCTTCCATAGCTTTCTTTTTAAATTTTTATTTTTTAATTTTTAAAATTTGTTTCAAGTATATAGTACATTGGTTAGACATCTATATAGTTAGTAAGAATGATCCCACCAATTGCTCACTCCCTCCCTGACCCTCTACTTACCCAATGTATTAACGCTAATTGCATTTCCTATGCCGTGCTCCCCATCCCCATGACCATCCATCAGCTACTAATTCGTACTTCTTTAACCTTTCACCCCATTCTCCCAGCCCCCCAAACTGCCCACCCTTCTATTTATCACCAAATTATCCACTATATTTGCGAGTCTGTTTTTGATTAGTTCGTTCTTTTTATTCTTTAAATTCTGCATATAAGTAAAATCATACAGTTTATCTTTCTCTGTCTGACTTAAATACCTTCTAGGTCCATGAAAGCAATATCTTTTTCCATCCCCTTCCTTTTTATATGTAGGGGTCTTGTTTTCTTATCCTTTCAGCTACTCTATCTTTTGGTTGGAGCACTTAATTCTTTTCCATTTAAGGTACTCATTGATAGGAATGTAGTTGTTACCATTCTTTATTCCTGTTTTTGATTCATGTCTTTTCTTCTTAAAGAGGTCCCTCCAACACT